ATTTACAAAAGATATTATGCATTTATAATGTGATTTTTCACGTTAATGTGTAAAATTGGAACATATAAATAAATTAATAATGTATTAAATATGTTTAAAGCTTATTTTTGTCGCAATTAACTCATGTTAATATATTTTAATAGGAAAAATGTTTTTCTACTAAAATTGTAGAAATGTTACTTGTTTTGTTTATATATTGCGATATATAATTTTTATTACTTTATTCTTATTTTATACATTAACGTGAATAATCATATTCTGCAAATACATAATGTTAAAATATTTTATTAATATGAATATGATATATATTTCATAAAAGACTGTAAATCTCAGAAAAAATATCGCGTCGAGCAAAAGCAACACGCCGCTAGTCGACTTGTTAGTTGCGTGGAGCGAAATTCGGGAAAGCATTTTTGCTGCCAACGCTTGGCAGAAGAAATGGTGCGAGCGTCAAAACCGGTTTGATGCTAGGCTTGGTGGGAAGGAGATACAAGACATAGGTCCGCTCACTTCTACCAGTCGACAGCCGAGCGCACACGGACACGTGACGTCAGCGGGTCTCGGTTGTGTGCGTGTGGAGCTCTCCGGGGAAAACCTTAGAACATATATACTGGAAGGGGCATAGTCTATCTAAATATACATAACAAAAGTGTCCCCAACATCTATCTATCCTTGTCTGTACGAAATCAATCAATGCACTTGCGCGAATGAATAACCGCTTAAGTTGAAAGTAGAAAGATTTAAAATAAGTGAAAGCATTTGAAAATTTGATTATAACAATTTATTCTTTAAGTTATATATTATAATATAATTGCAATATATTATAAATTATATATAATAATATGTAGTAATATGTAATAATAGTCTTGCAAAATAAAATAAAAATAATGATGCACATAACCAAAAACAAATACTGTCATGAACAATAATTATATACAGGATGTACAGGATGAACTAAAATAAGATAACAAACTTTGAGAAGCGAGAACAAACATGAAACAAAATTTGACATCAACATATGTCCGTCACACACAAACCCACTGTTACTGATATAAAATATATATTATTAATGAAAAATAAAAAGTAATATTTATTATTATGTAATATTCTCGCTCCTCTAAAGTTTGTTATCTTATTTTAATTATATCTTGTATATATAGTAACTAGTACAATAAAAATTATTATAATAAATAATAAAAAAATATTTAAAAACTTCATTGATGTTTAAATAGTATTAGTTTTGTATACTTTTTTATGATTATTTCTTTAGACTTGATTATATTGGAAGGCTTGTCATAGATAAGCTTGTCTAGTTTGTCATCACACACATCAACATAATCGACGCATGCGTATTGCAATAAAATGTACAGACAAGGATAGATAGATGTTGAGGACAACGGCAAGTCAGCTATGCCCCTTCCAGTATATATGTTCTAAGGGGAAAACTGGCAGCTCTGCCTTCAACCTGTTGACATGTAGCGACTGAGCGAAGTGTCATTCAGCGGAAAATCTAGTAATGTTGCCCAACTGTTGAGTCCGCTGAATGCAGCCAATGTAGCCATTACCACAACTCATTTGTGAGAGTCACTAGACATCGAACACTAAACCGTCGCCATAACCACTCTTATTTTTCTCTCTGCTTTGGGCTAGTTTGCAAGTTTCATTTTCATGTATTGTTTGCAACGAGGCTTTTTGATTATATATATATACATGTGTATGCGTGAGTATATATGCATAAAAAGCGTACGCCGCGATGATGTTGACATTTAATTTATCACTGTAAATGCTGCGGATGTACATTTAAGAAGGTTTGGCGAGTAATGTCAGTAACCTTATCGTAATCGATGTGACGTCGCGTTACCGTGCTTCGTGGACGAAATTTACGAGCATTCCATCAATCCATAATTATGCGATCTTTGTTGATTGATCTTGACGCACTAGGGCTTTGGCTCGATGAACAACGCGCCATATTGGTCTGAAGGAGTATCACCAAAGGCGGTGGAACCCTTGTGGCGAGTGTGTCGTTTTTATATAGCGAATGAACTTGATGTGATACGTTCCGACGATGGAAGAAACGAAGATTATCTATCACATGGATGATGAAGAAACACCGTACCTGGTGAAGCTTAATATATCACCAGAGAGAGTGACTCTGGCTGATTTTAAAAATGTTTTAAATCGGCCGAATTACAAGTATTTCTTCAAGTCAATGGACGATGACTTCGGGTAAGTGTCAAAGCAATGCATTTGTTCTCTTATACCATTCATTTATTGCTTTGTCTGTAACATGCATCATGTATTTATCATTTTATTATCATTTAAATTTTATTATTACTTATTTATATCATATGATTGTAACAAATTATTACCACAAAAATTGACTTCTAAGTTGTGACATTTGCAATTGTATACATGTACATGTACATATATATTTATATATTCTTTTATTATGGCTTATCAATAATATGAAAAATTTGATTTACCTTTTTTGTTCTATGTCAGCCAGTTAAGAATCTCTCTTATGTTTCTTTTTTTTCTTGGAAGGATATTGCACTATTTTTTAACCCATCTGAGAAATGACTTATGTTTGAAATAATTTGACAAAACCTGCTTTCTTGGCATACAATAGATATGATAGATTTTTAGGAAATGAGATAAAAACATAGTAAATAAAAATATGTTTTAATTTAAAATTAATGTTAAATAGAAAATGTATATGTAGTATATATATTTTTATATTTTTATATTATATAAATTGCACATAAAACCAAGTATTGTTAAGAATATTGTTGTTATGATTATTATATGATATATTTGTTATTCTTAATAACATTCTTAAGTTAAGGATAATATATTTTTATATCAAATTTGTTTCCTTATTGTGCTAGTGTGGTAAAAGAAGAAATTATAGATGATGATGCCCATTTGCCATGCTTCAATGGTCGAGTTGTCTCTTGGGTAAGGTTTAGAAACATGTAGAGATTGGGTTTCAATTTTTATAATTAAACAAAATTAAAAAATTTTTATTTCACTAATTTAATATCATTTTACAACTTAGTTTTATCTAATAGTATTTTAAATATTATTTTTATTTTGTAGTAATTACTATTTTCTATTTGATTTTTATTCTTTATTTCTCTCAAATAAGATCTTATTTAACGGAGCAATACTTTGTGTGTACGTGTGTGTGACAGTTGGTATCTGCAGAAGGTAGCAATGTCTCAGATGGTGCCTCTCAGTGTACAGACTCTATGGCACATAGCGAAGTAAAACATGATCGAGTAGATCATGTAACTCCTGGACATGGTACCAGAGCGAATGCTGCACTTTCACATGATGACACATTGACAGAGACAGAAAGCATTATAAGCAGTCGACAAGGACATCACTTACATAAAAGCTCAAGGCACCATTCAGAAAAATATGAAAAGTATAATAAATATAATGGTAAGCTATTATTGGATATATTATAGTATCATTATTATCTTTTTATTAACTTATTATAATATTTTTATTAATTTTTTACTTCATAAAATATAATGATTTATGTTGTCTTAAAATTGTAAATTTTGTGTAAATAACTTATATAAATAAATATTCTTAGAATTTATAATATAAAATATTAGCTGTGAAGTAGTATTCTTTCATGTTATACACTTTGTAATATTTTTTTTACAGGACTGCGCATAAATGGCCATTCAAAACATCGCTCTGGTCATGGATATGAAACTGCTTCCATTTTAAGCTCGGATTTAGAAACGACCACATTTTTGGAATCTGACGACGACGCAAGCAGCCGTATTACATCAACGACAGGCCGGCATACCAATATGAGTAGCACAGTCGATAGAGGCACTATGGGTAAGAGAGAATTAAAATAATACACAAAGAATATTTTACAAAAGTTTTTTTATGAGATCTTGTGTAAGAGAAAAATAAGTTTAATGTTTTTTTTCTCGTTTTATATACATTAAATGTGTGTATTTTTCTTCTCTTATAGATCGACGTCGTCCGCAAAGAAGACGACGGCACAGATTACCTCCTATGTCTCGAACGTCGTCGTTTAGTAGTATTACTGACAGTACAATGTCTTTAAATATTATAACTGTTTCATTGAACATGGACACTGTTAATTTCCTTGGTATTAGTATTGTTGGTCAAAGTAACAAAGGTGGAGATGGAGGAATATATGTTGGTTCAATAATGAAAGGGTTAGTAGTAATAGATACATATTTCCATTGATTTACTTACCGTGGCAAATGTACTTGTTTCAACATCATTTGAATTATACCTCAAATTTGTGTCTCATTTTTTACAGCTTCTATTAAATAAATATCTCGATTATTTTGCAGAAAAAATTTAAATTAAACAAGTATTAATAATTTAAAGTATCATTAACATCTGTATTAAACCATATGGGAACAGCAAATTTTATATTTTGAAAAATGACAAGGCTCAACAAATAATAAAATTATAAAACGATAGGAACAAAATGAACCAGACTGCTAGATATCAGTGCGAACGAACTTTTATTGTGTTATAAAAATCATTAATATACACAAACGTTTCAAAATGTTAACGTATTAAAAGTAATATAGTCCATAATAATGTTCGTCGATTTGTCAAATAAGAAATGGAAGAGAACGAAAAGATAAATTACTGGTTTAACAGTCAGATTGTAAATTTACAATTGACTATTAAATCATATCTTATTGTAAATAATCAGCGTGCGTTTTCATATGTAATTTATTTATTTGACACTGAGGATAGCCTGACGACAGGTTCAAACATTTGTGTATATTAATGGTTTTTATAACACAATACAAGTTTGTTCGCACTGAGCGGTCTGGCTCATTTTGCTCCTATCGTTTTATTTTTTATATTTTTCTTTCACATTATATTATGTAGTAAGACTTTAGTAAATGATGCGGTACGCAGGGTATTTGATAATGTTCGTGCCAATGCTCGTCCTAAGCGTGCTAGCGGTGAGTATCGCATAGCGACGAAAAGTAAAGCTGCTGTCCGCTTGTTGCTCGCGTGTTATCTCTGTCCTCACGAAGCGACCAAACTTCGTTGTCGTGTGATACTCGCCGTTAACGCGCCCAGAGCATACATTCCACGGTCCAGCTGCGCGAAACGCGCAATTATTTGCGCACAATTTTTAATTAATATCTCAATTATTATTACAAAATGGTAAAGGACTTTTCTGTTCAGTTTACCGCACTCTACCTGTATACGAGCATAGGCACGAACTTATCAAGCACCTTATATAATAATAATAATAATAATAATAATAATAATAATAATAATAATAATAATAATAATAATAATAATAATAATAATAATAATAATAATAATAATAATAATAATAATAATAATAATAATAATAATAATGATGATGATGATAATGATAATAATAATTTGTTGCTGTTTATTATATAACTCGTAAATATAGGGGAGCAGTTGCTTTGGATGGCCGAATAGAACCTGGTGATATGATTCTTCAAGTCAATGACATTAATTTTGAAAATATGTCTAACGACGAAGCGGTGAGAGTATTACGAGAAGTAGTGCAAAAACCAGGGTAAATATATATGAGCTTTACTTAGATATTCTGCAGTCATATAATTATATGTTTATAAAATGTAAAATGATATATTATTCTTTTTATTTTTTTTAGACCAATAAAACTTGTAGTTGCGAAATGTTGGGACCCGAATCCAAAAGGCTATTTTACAATACCTCGTACAGAGCCAGTGCGTCCTATAGATCCTGGTGCGTGGGTAGCGCACACAGCTGCTATACGAGGCGAAGGTTTCCCGCCTCGTCCACCAAGTGCCACAACGTTAACTTCAACATCGAGCAGCCTTGCAAGCACACTGCCAGATACTGAACGTAAGTTTTATTGTAATACTGTAATTTGCTAAATATAAATTTTTTACGTTTAATATTTCCAGAATAAATTCTTGATTAAAATGTGATAAATTTAAAAATTGAATAAAAAATAAAATTATATTGTGTTTATTTTTTTGTATATTTAAAAATTTTGTAATTTTTAATAAGTCCTTTGTCTTCAATTGCTTCAAACTTGGATGTTTCTCCTACTTTTCTCATAAATATTATATAATTTCCAATTAATAAATTAACAATGTTTAAGAAATTGTGTCTATGGAAGCTAGCATTCTCATTTTCAATTGCAAATTCCTTCTGAATGGTTGAAGAACTAAAATTGGGAACAGAATACTAAACTATCTAAATGGTGCTACAAGTCCATCTATATTTTAGGGTGGGGAGAGAGGTGATGAGAGTGCTACCTTTACAAACATTAAGAAATTAAATGTATGAAAGGCTAATGATTTTGAGATGTCTTATATACTCACTGCATTGAAATATTTTGATCCAGGCCCTTTGGAAGAACTTCATTTGACCGTTAACACAGACATGCCAACAGTGGTACGAGCAATGGCTCGGTCTGACTCAGGTTTAGAAATACGCGATCGAATGTGGCTTAAAATTACCATTCCGAATGCATTTATTGGTGCGGATGTTGTTGATTGGCTGAATACGCATGTAGAAGGATTTATCGATCGACGTGATGCCAGGAAATATGCGTCGCTCATGCTAAAAGCTGGTTTCATTCGGCATACAGTAAACAAAATAACATTTTCCGAGCAATGTTATTATATATTTGGTGATCTATGTTCAGCCATGAATAGCATGAAACTAGATTGTGATACAGTTGGTCCCTTGCCGCCGCCAAACGCTTGGGATATGCCTTACTCGGGAACATATGCACCACATTCAGCAACAGGGTATAGTCCCATGCCATTTAATTTTACGAACGAGCCCACCGTCTACGGATACCATCGTGAAGAGAGCATACATAGTGGTTCTGGTAAATTGATTATTTCCTATTTTTTTATTTGTTCTAATTTTTAAACGAAATACATAAAATAAATAAAATTAATAGGTGGTAGCAGTGCAGGTAGTGAACGCATTTGCAAGGAACCCATTCACGATCTGAAATCGTGTTCTTCGGCGTCAGAATCAGAGTTGCATAATCCATCGATGCCATCTATGCCATCTATGCCAAATAAAAATTCCGGCAACGGTAACGGATCGAACGGCAAAAGGTCTAATGGCAGCCGCAGTCGTTCCAGTGGTTCCGAACAATCTGTTCAGACGGGAACGGGATCAGGGAATCAGCAGAATCCGCAAGACTTATCTGGTAGTAGACAGTCATTTCGTATCGCGATGGGAAATCCTTGTGAATTCTTTGTCGATGTTATGTAGATGTTGTAAATAGAAAGGTGTTGAATCTATAGTACAGAATATATCTAGATATCGCCTTGCGAATAAGTACTTTGAATAGTTTTATTTATAAGCATGATGACTCTTCTGTGTTTGCAGAATTAAAATTAGCATTTATACGTGTCTAGTAGATAAATATGTTATTAAAATACGTAGAAACTTTTCTTTTTTGTTTTTTTTTTCTTTTTCTTTTATTTATTTACTGATTTTCTATTTTCGTATATGATTAATTTATCATGTATTGGAAATTCTTACATAATCACCATCACTTCCTTAATATTCAAAGTATTTATTCACTATTCGATTTCGTGGACAACTTTGAATAAGGTCTACAAAATTTTTAATTTATATTCGTCTTTATAGATATATCACAGTTTGCATTTTATTCCAACTGCATCCTTTTTATAACAGTATTTTCAAAAGTTGCATTTTAAGATTATTTTTTGAGACATTTTGCATGTAATAGAACAATGTACATGTTAGTATAATTTAAAGGTGTTACGTCACAATGTAAGATGCAACTAAATAAATAAAAGAATATTTTTATTTCGGCAGTCAGTGATAGAACATAAAGATGTTTGTTACTTCTAACATGTTCATTCTAATATGACACTCGATTATATGTAAAATTTATATCTTTCTTTTTATCCTTCTATCATTAATAATGAATTATTTCGTACAAGTATAATAATACGTAACTTCATACAAACTTGTTATATTATTAAGAAAGATTTTTATATAATATTGTATTACCGATAAAAGAATGAACTTGTATCAGCAAAAAAATCCAAGATGAACTGATCAAAATATAAATTTCTCTAATCATCTTGGATAACTATAAAATATTATCTCCTTACGTGACGTATCTCCTATTCTATAAAACTTTTTTAGTAATCCACTTGTACACATAATACTATAAAGATACAGTTAAAAATGTATCTACTAAGATTTTGTTATTACCTTTATGTTTACACACGATTATGCACATGCTTTTTCTTCATTGTAAATGTACTATGTGGTCACTCCTACTTTAAACTAGCATGGTTGCACAAGATATAAAGCACAAAAATAAATATGTAAATAACACGGTTATTTCAATGAACGTTTTAAATGTTAAAATTTGCAAGAATCTTTTTGCACATGCATGTCATTTATACTTATATGAGAAGGTATGTATATCTATTAATGCTTTTTTAATTGATTGCCTTTTAGGATTGTCTACGACAATGGGGCAGCTATTTCTTTAAAATCGAGAAGATACTTTATTTCAATATCGAATTTCTTTTCATTATTTGGAAAGAATCTTTAAAAACATTTTAAAAGTTTAGAATCTTTAAAAACATTTATTGGAGAAAGAACTATACAAAAAATTAAATCTTAATTGTTAATTTGTTGGAAATTTTCATCAAATCCACATCTACGTTAGATCTTTATTAATTTCTATATTATATATCTACTGATGAGAGAAAGCTATGATTTAAAGCGAAAAATATGTACAATTACATTATACGACATTGTATCGGAATTTTATATACATATATATATATAAAAATTACGTTAAAATAAAATGTGCCATCTTATATATCAACGTTAGGAATATAAAGTTAAGAGATTTAATTTAGATCGATGTTTACAAATGTATACATTTCTTAAGTTATGTTTATCGTCATTGTCACATGCGTATTTTCCAATTAATAATACAATTTTTATATAAGTCTTTTAACAATTTTATTTAAGTCTTTAAATATTACGTTACTTTAATATTATCTGCTGATTTTTATTTTGTATCTTGCTCTT